CCCCGTGCAGGGCCCGCGCCTTCCTCTCCAGGGCGTGCTGGAACACTCTGTGGCTCACTAAAGACCCTCCCGCCCTCACATGAGGTGAGAGACAGCGTCCTGCTGAGAAGACACTGTGAGGACATCAGGAGACACGAGGCGCTGATGGGAAAATGCCGATTATTTTTCTCCATGTTCCTTCTCTCAGATTCCCTTTATTGCATCCAGAGCTGGGTGTTTTTCCAGCTGGATGGGATCCAGCTGGTCATCTGCTGATGTGAACTGTCTAAAGGGAGGCGTGAACTTAATTGCATGTGGCATAGTGAATGTGACAGGAGGGGCCTTGTCATTCCCGAATATGCTCGAAGAGAAAGCACTGAATGGCAGATGAGCTGCCTAAATGAGCTGCAGAGATGGGGCAAGCTGTCTCTGACCAAAAGGGAGCAGAGCTGCAAGGCTGTGCCTCTGATTTCTGCCTCCCCTGCTTTACAGATCTCTGAAGGGGGCTGCAAAGCCTTTCTCCCCGTGTGGATACAATTTCCACGATTAAAGGGCACTCACATGGGCCCTTTGCCTTGTTTCCAGCAGCAGTTTCAAGAACTGAGCCTCAGATTGAAATTTTACCCATTGTCATTGCTTATTGCAAAACAATTTGAAGTGAAGATATGAACATTATTTTTTCCTTTCTCTGTATTCTGTACTTGCCTAGCAGTTTTCACAAAAGACCAAAAAATTCTATTTAGATATTCCAAATATAAAAGATAAACAGAACTTTTTTATAAACTGTAGAGGGGCCACAGAAGGGCTTTGAGCAGCCAAGTGATACAGGAATAGCAGTGCTTTTTAAAGATTGATCTGGTGACGGTGTGGGGGATGAATTGGTGGAGGGAACAGAAAGTCACTCTGAAGGCTGGGTGTCTGGTTGGGCTCTGGCAATAATCTAGGTGTGAGGGGAGAGAGAACAGAGCCAGGCTCCAGTCTGGAGAATGGAAAGTGAAGTATATTTCAGAAGAGAAGTATTCCACAACTGGTTAGAAGTGATGCAGAACACAAGGAATTTATACTGAGGTATCAGGCCTTGGGCACTGTGAGAACTGGGAGAGCAATGAAAGAGGTCAAAAGCAGCAACTGGTTGAAGCAGGGCAAGGCCACATTCTGAGTTAAATGGGCGCACTGTGTGAGAGTGGGGTTGGGATTCGTGCTAGGGACCCAGATGGGAAGTCCCCAGCGAGCCGACCCTCCCAGGGGAAAAGTGCAGAAGCAGAAAGAAGATAACTGGGGAACAAGCTTTGGGAGATATTCCTACTTATGGTTATGGTGTGATGAGCAAAACTAAATAGAACGTGAAAGAATAAGGCAAATAAAGAATGTTCATCTCTCATGATGCTTAACATATGCTGGCCTCACAAATGAACATTTTAAATGCAAGAATGAATGTGTGTAAGTGTCATGGGGGGAAAAATTCAAAGGTAAAGAGAATTTCAAGATAGAGGAAGTGGTTGACAGAGGTGTTATTAAAATTAAAATGAAAGACTAATAATAGAAGAATTATTGGATTTGTCAACTACAGGACATTGATGGTCTTTGGGTATTTTTGTTTCTAAGGATGAAATCCCAGTAGGAAGAGTTTAAGGTGTGAGTTAGTGGTGAGGCAATTAAAACTGTCATATATATTTACTGAATGTAAATAATAATGTTTTAGGATAGTGGGCCAAAAATCTTTTATGTAGGTAATTATATAGTAGAAAGTTTTCAT